ACTTATGTTAGGTGCCCAGAGAGGCCAGCACTTCCCTGCCTGGAAGGTGGGACAGTTACTCTTTCTTCATTGAAGGAAGGTTTTCCCCTTGTTTCCTCAAATCTGTAGTGATGCATTCATTCTTGAATCCAGGTACATTATTTTTGATGTCCTTTAAATTTAATTATTTACCTAAAAATGTAACATGTTAGTATTGAAAGTCACCTAAAATACTATGTACTCTTTCTGTGAGGATGAAAGAGATCTTCTTTTTACTTCTTTGCCTTAAAGTATCAGAAAGGTCAGTAATTTTTGGAGGGAGTAAAAAAGTTTGAATTCTTGAGAAGTGAACCAGAAAGAACACATGAAATAACAGAACCACACAAAAACATCAAAGAGTTTTGAAAATTTCATCATCTTCACTGCAGTTGGTTAATCAGATAAGGAATAAAGTTATAAGAAGCAAATATAACTTCTAATAATGTCTTGATTTTGAGTTACTTTTCTCCTTCCTTTCCTCATTTTCTAACAAAAATGAGAAATTCACAATATTTGACATATAATGACAGTTGAAAAAATTAAAATATCTTCTTATTTTGGAATATCTATTTTTCATGTGCTTTGGAAAACTTAATAGTGATACTTCTAGTAGATTACATAGTGCTTTAATGTATCAATTTAGCTATAACCTTGGAGGCTAAATTTTCATGTTTTTGCTCCAGAAGAAGCAGTCATCTCCAGAAATTCTGGTGGATAGCTTGATGATTTGACACTGAAAATAGAAGAACAAGAAAAACTGCCTCGTTTGACAGGGAATCCCATTTTAACTTTTCTTGGTATTCACTAGGGCTTCTCACATAAGTACATGTGAGTAACTTTTAAAACATCCAGTAATGGAAAAAGCAGTTTCGAGAACTTTAAAGTTCTAGCTCTCACTTAAATATCCTGAAATGCCCTCCTGAGATGGCTTGCTAGTTCCTAGAGTAGTTCCCTGCGTCATGCTGTGTCAATTTGGGAAAGAAAAAAAAAAAAAAAAAGCCCACCCTAACAACCCAGTCCAGGATTCTCTCTTCCTGTCACTCGAATGCCGTCTTCTGCTTTGTGAGATGGGCTTCTTCATTGCCCACTCACCTCGGAGGTACTGGGCACTAAATGGTCTACTGCTTCCAGCTCTTCCCAGCCCTACCCTCTCAGTCAGAGAACTCTTCCTAAAACATTAAGCTTTACTTCTTGGCTCAAAATATTTTGATGGTTCCCTTAACGGGCAGAATAATTGGGTTTCTTAAAACAATGTCTGCAGTACTGGAAGTCACATGGCCAACTGTGGGTTCAGGTCCCTCGCCTAGCCCATCTGAAATGTGGAAGGGGCACATGTACATGCCCAAGATTCCGATGAGCTGGAGGGCGGGGGACAGGGGATCATGGTATGACCAGATCCTGCTCAGGGTGTTTCTCCTCGTCATAAAGAAAGAAGCAGAAACCATGTGTGGAACTGGAGATGTGGTGATTAGGGCAGCTAGATCTCACCTGGCCAGCTGTGTGTTTCCAGTCCCAGAGAGACAGGCACTCGTGCATGCATGGCCAAAATCCCAAGAAGAAGGAGAACAAAAGGGATTGTAGTGTGACCATCCTCTAAGGGAGTGTGCTTTCTCTCTCTCTTTCTCTCGTGAGAGGACACTCTCTGACAAAATTATTTTTTTTTTAAATCTCGAAACTTCTGGAATACATTTAAATTTTACTCCCTTTTTATAATGATAAAATAAATGAGCAAGCACATGCTGGTCACTTAAAGTGAATACCTTGGAACTGAGAACAGTACTTGTGTTCATGCTTCTACATCGCCATTGCCAAATGGGCTTTTCTGTGTGAGCATTTGTTTGTCAAAGTGACCTTGGATCTGTAGCCACATTTCAGAGGCATTTTCTTGTTGTGAGATCCAGATATTACTTACATCTGAGAAACAGGGCCTCACATGACAGTATCCAAATGTCCCAATGTGGGTGAGTAGCGCTTTGAGCTCTGCCTTGCCCGTCCCTCTCCCTGGATCTCCATGGTGTGCCTCCTATCCTGCGCTCCAGCCCCTGGGAGACAAGCAGCCCCTGGATCACCTAGGCCATTTCAAGCATTTACCTTTTCTTCTCTAAGCTCATCTTGTGATAATTCCCCTCCTCCACTCCACCTGTCTGGAACACTCCTCTGTAGGCAGCCTTCTAGAAGACCCCACCCCTGGTATAATTAATAGCACCTGTCCTGGCTGCAGTTATTCTTTACACAGGGAGTTGTGTTACCAGTAAACCACCCCCAAAATTTAGTGCCTTAAACCAATAATTTTTTTTTTTTTTTGAGAAAGGTTTTTGCTACAGGGCGCATGCGCTCGCCACACAGATAGAGATAGAGAGACAGAAAGCGAGAAATCACCCCCCGGGGGGATGGCCACGCCGCAATCCCTTCTCCTCCATTCTCCTCTCAGGATCTTGGGCACGCATGCACACGCGCCTGGCGTGAGTTTTAAGCCACTGGGTCCGGGACTCGAACCGTGGTAGAGTATGTGGGAATCCAGCGATATAGCCATTATGCTAACTGCTGGTCCCAAACCAATAATTTTTATCATCACATAGTTTGGGTGCATTGGGAACCTGGGTGAGTCTTAGCTGTGTCCTCTGGCTCAGTCTCCCCGAAGCTGCAACTCTTCCTATTAACTCACCTGATAGTTGGCAGGATTCATTTTTCTCCTGAGTGGCTGGACTGAGGCCTCAGGTCTTTATGACCTGTTGAACAAGAGCCTCCCATGGTTGCTGGACTCGCAGCATGACAACCTGCTTCCCTGGAGCAGGCAAGCGCAGGGCAAGAGAGTGCTACCGAGAGAGAGCACCTTCCAGATGTCGCCCTCCTTGGTAACCTGATCACAGATTTGACATGCCATGCCATTGCTATTGCTGTATTTTGCTCATTAGAAGAAATGGGCTAGTCCAGGTCACGCTCATGGGTAAGGAGACTGCATACTAGGAAGTGAGAATTGTGGGGGGCTAAGAAGTCAGTCTGTGTCCTATAACCTGCAGACCTTAGGCGGGCTCAGATGGGGAGACTGTGGACTCCCCAGAGATGGAAGTCTGCTGCTTCCTCTCTGTCTTATTTCCTGCCTCTCCTGGTGTGGGCATCTTGATGCCATGACTGATTCGGGGTTTAAAGAGAGGTATATTTTTAAATAATCTGACTCTTAAATGCCATTTGAAAGTCAACTAACTCCCTCGTCTGATCTTCAACTGAAGAGAAAATAGCATACTTTAGTGCTGGAGGAAGAACTCTCTGAGTTGGACTTACTAAGAAAAGGTGATAGAGCACACCAAGGCAGTGCATTCTTGAGAGATTTGCAAATGTAATTTTGATTCTTTGTGACTCTGTGTGTGTGTGTGTCCTGAATTTTACTTCTCACCTGGAGTAGAGTGAAGCCCTGGTGTGTGCAGACGTAGCCTCTGTAAACTGCTGCTCTTTGTGTACGTGCCTATTTTTGAGTTGGAGCTACTTGACCATCTGGTCTGTGCCTAATTTATTTTCAGTACCAGCACTTTGCTTAGCACTTAAGCTCTCAGTTTTCTTTAAAAAATATATATACACCACCTTGATATGTTTTTCTGCGTCTAATACATCCAGTACTAAACTTGCTAGGCATTTCTACAGTTTTAATAGTTGAGAATTTTAAAACTTTTCTGGGGTATACATAGTTTAAAAGAGTGACCTGGGTCTCTGATACCTGTAATTTGTGTGTTATTTTGCTGGATAGTTAGGGCTTTAGCGTTTTTTGCCCTTGAATCAAAGTTCTCCACTTTTCTCTGCACAATTTCTAAATATTTTGTCCTTTTGAGTCAAAGGAATTGCCCTGATTTTACAATGACATTTGGGTACGATATTTAAACTGTTAAAAGTGATAAAAACGACCCTTTGGTATTACATGGAATAAATGGCTCTGAACTGTGCACATGCACGGGTTCTCCTCTATGAGCTTTGGGAGCCTAATCTCCAGTTACATATTCTCATTGCGACCGGACTCTGACATTCCCTCCTCCCCTGAGAGTGTGCAGCCGTGAGGACTGCTCATGGCTTGGTGCTGCTGTATACCTTGGGTCTTCGGAAGTTTTGTCTTTCATCCCTCTACTATTGAATGACACTCGTCAGATTGCCGGTCCTCTTCAATTCCGAAGAGGCAGGAGCATCTCTATAAGAAAGCACATGAAACAAAACTAGTTTTGTCCCTAAAAGATTTGTAGTAACCTTTGAATAAAGGAAGTGGAGGTGACTTCTAGATCTCACCTATCTTTGCTGATCCTTACCTTATCTAGCGAGACCATTTTCTTTGTTCTGCTCCTGGGTACTCTGTACTGCATTCATTTGTACTGGCTTGCATTTCGTTGTAACTCTAAAATATTGTCATGTTTGAATATTGTAAACTCATTCATATCAAAAGTTTTCTTTTTTTTTAACTTATCAGAAGTTTTGCTGTTCTTTCTTTGTTTTGCTGTCTTAGCTATCTTTTGCCATTTTATGCTCACTGTAACACCACTCCAGGAACATTTCTAAACAGAAATCATACCGAAGCGTGTCAGTCTCGATTCATTGGTGATGTAGTAGAGTAGATCTGAGTTGAGGGAATGGACCGTGTCTGGACTCTCCTAGTAAGGGAAGGACGTGAGTCCAGAGGCTTTGTAGAAAGTTGATTCTACAGGGTTAAAGATGTCTCTCTAAATGCACCAGAGATGTTACTGCCGTGAAATTGTACTATAATATTTTCTAGTTGTGATTCATTTACAGTTTAATATGCTTCTAGTTCTAGTTTGACTTTTCCCTCAGGAAGAGCCTAAAATCTCTTCATTATAATATAGACAGTGTACTGCACTTCGAATACAAATTTATCCATGTTCACAGTAATTTTTCTTGTGATTGTCTCTACCCTGGAGAAGTGCTTTTAATGAATTACATACAAATTGTGTAATTTAAGAAGTTAATTTGGTTTTCTGGTTACACAGGACTAAAAACAGCCCTTGTAGAAAGAGATGATTTCTCATCAGGGACCAGCAGCAGAAGCACTAAATTGATCCATGGTGGTGTGAGATATCTTCAGAAGGCCATCATGAAGTTGGATATTGAACAGGTAATTGTGTATGCTGGTTGTTAAACAAAAATTGCGACTCTGCTTTTTTCTACCCAATTAAGTCAGTTTTTTCTTTTTCCTTTTTATGGCTTTTAACATTTCTTCCTGTTGGAAACACCTACTTAGTGTATTCTGTTGTAATATCGTTTCAGGAGAGGTGTGTCAGTTCTTTCCTGTAGTAGTATGTGTATGGGTAGTCAGGGGGTTTTCTACACAGACATATCAAATAGCAGATTTACAAAATTACTTTTGGATGTGGTGTTTTTTAACAATTGTGATTGGATTTTTGCCAGTGGCCACCAAATTGCTGCTTCATAAGCAGTTTCAGGGGAGCTGTGTTGTAATGCAGGGGAAGTACCAGATTGATCCTCTTAACTGCAACTGTAATCCTACACTCATATTGTCACTGACATATTCTCAAGGAAAAGATGATCTGAGTCATGCTTTTCTTATGTCACACTTTATTGTGTCCAGTCTGCCACCATTTGAAAACTGCCAAGGCAGTGTGGAAGATGACATTTCCCAGAGGGGGTGAAAAAAAAAAAATCAGCTGAACTCCCTATCTGCTTTTCCTACGTGAAAAACACAGCAGCAGTGACTTGACATTGTCAAGGTTTGAATCTGTTCTCTTTTTTTTTCCTGACAAGTCAGTTTTGAATCTGTCCCCCTTTTTACATTTCTCTTTGGCATTCTGATGGATACACAGATAAGAGCATAGGTTTTAGAATCAGCTAAACTTCTGTGTGCTGTGGCTTATTTATTCAATGTTTGTGAGCCTTCTTCCTTTTCTCATTGGTAAAATTAGTATCATAATAGTAATGCTAGCCCTTTGGAGAGGCATAATGAGGACCAAAGGAATGAAAACAAAAGCTGCAAAACACTGTAACTGTTATGTATCATCTTTGCCTGCTATGGTGGAGGCAAGAAGGAAACTTTTAGCAGGAACTGGAACAATCTGTTATCTCTTACACACAGAAAATATTATGGGAACTGAGAAAAGGAGACAATACAGAGAATGCAAGATAAATGGTTACAATAATCTTGTAACTCAAGTCAGGAAAATATCTTACACCTGGGAACTCTGACAGCATGTTTTTCTCCTATGCAAATAGAGTTAAGGTTTCTAAAAAATCTTTGAGGTTGACAGCATGATGTATTATTAGAAATTTGATTAGGAGGGAGCTATCTTCGCTCAGAGGTAGAAGGTTTCTGTGTATCAATCAGTTGGCAGGGTGTCTATTTGCCATTTGAAAATATTATGATCTGTTACTGCCAAACTAATTTTCTCTGTTTTGCTTTTCAGTATAGGATGGTAAAAGAAGCCCTTCATGAACGTGCCAACCTACTGGAAATTGCTCCCCATTTATCAGCCCCTTTGCCTATAATGCTTCCAATTTACAAGTAAGCCTTTGATATGCCTGTATACTATTTGCATAACTGAGGTCAGTAGAACAAGACACTTTTCATTGAAATAATCCTTCAATGTATATATTTTTTAAAATGTGGTTTTAATTGGTCCTAACTTCAGTCCTTTCCTAACACTTCTTTTTGTTGTATTTAGAAGTGTGACATTTTAAAAATTATTCTCTACTGACCTACCTCTAAGGACCAGATTTTGAAGGCCACCGAAATTGTATTCTGTTTTTATTTAGCAGTTTCTTACACTAGCTTCTGAAAGTATATAGATGAACAACTGGATTTGCACTGAGTTTTGTAAGAGGATCATTTGCAGAATTGGAACGTGCAGAGCCAAAAGTATCCAAATCTGATTTTGATTTTGCCAAATCGGAATTTACCATGTACCAATTTGAAACCCAAACCATTTTGGGTCATTTTAAGTGTTTGCATTAACCTGAACTGAAGTTTGGTTACGGGATATCAGATTATAAATGACAAAACCCAATTTTTCTAATGTTGGAACTATCCATGAAGTATCCTTAATTTGGAATACAGGTCATATAAAAAATTGAATTATGTAACTCTTAGCTACATGAGTGTTGTGGAAGGCCTAGAAACAGATTTTATGTATGTTTTTCTATTTTTGCTATATATTGCTCAAGACTTAAACCAGCAATTCTCAATCCTGGGTAGTCTCCAGGCACCCTCTCTTGTCTGTTGCAATTTCTGGACATGAGTCCCAATGCATTATTTGAATTTTTTTCTAATATTCTCTGAAGAATTCTCATCCGTAGCTGGGTTGAGAGCCACTGTTGTACAGAGCATTCTTTTCCAATCTCACTGATTAATTTACTTATATGCTTCAGCTAGTTGGTGTCACAAACAGTTATGCAGGTCTTCTGTTTCTTTTGCAGTCTACTTCTACATATGCTTAGAAAAAAAGTATCTTGCACTTTAAGGTGACATTCTATAACATGATACTCTGATTCTCAAGAAACCTTTCCTCTTATTTATGCATAGATGGTGGCAGCTACCTTACTACTGGGTAGGAATCAAGCTGTATGATCTGGTTGCAGGAAGTAATTGCCTGAAAAGCAGTTATGTCCTCAGCAAATCTAGAGCCCTTGAGCATTTCCCAATGCTCCAGAAGGACAAGCTGGTTGGAGCAATTGTCTACTATGACGGTATGTAAAAAAAAAAAAAATTTTTTTTAAACAAAATAAATTCTCTCTCACTCATGACTAATAGTAGATCCTAATGACATAGTTTTGCCTTCTCACTTTTTATGCAGCTCTTGCACAACACACAAATGCACACATGTACACACTCTCCATTTTCTCTAATATGGGCTGAAAAACTCTCCAGAAGGTTTGCTTTCAATATTGTTTTACATATTCCTTTCCATCTTTAATTTCTGCTTTGTGTCTCATGGTTGGTTTGATCCATTTCTCATCACTATGAATTTGGACCCCCACCCTAATGCCATGTAATTTGTGATGTTTGCCAGTGAATACTTGCCTTATGAATATATTATAATGTTGAAAGCAGCTGAGGATCTGTTAGGTGTTCTAGATGAAACCTCTATTTTCAAGGGGTTATAAACCTAGGGGAAAATGCTCCCGGGGCTGAAATTGGCATGTTTTTATTTTCTACAGGACATAATTCTTCTTTTTAGCACTTTTTTAACAGTATTTTTATTTAATTTTCTAGTAGACAATGTATATACTCTCTTCTTGAGTGTATAATTTATATGATGAAGGTAGAAGAACTTTGGATCAGTTTATGGAACCCTCACTTGTTATTGTTTTTCTCATTGTTAGCTGTTTTCTAACAGTGATGTTAATGTTCATTTGCCCATGTGCTCATTATTCTCGGTGTGTGTGTTTGCACAATATAACTTTGTATACTTTTTTTTTTTTGGAGCAACTAAACTTTTAATACATCTCTAGGTAAACCACAAAGTGATATAAAACAAAATAGGCAAATCTGTGAAATTGCACTAGTAGTTCTAAAGAGTGTAAGGTATTAGAAGACATGCCAAGGGTGTAAAGAAATAGCTGGACATACAAATAATTGTACATATTTAAAAGTAGGAATTTTGTGAAACAAAGGATAGGTGAAGCTCTAAATCTTGGCGAGGCATTCCTCCTCACCCCAGTTATGTAATCTTTTATATTTAGTGTTAGCTGACCAAACTCTTAGCATAAAGATATGTGTGTTGTTGTTATTGCTGTTTTCAGGAAACTTAGATATTTATGCTTTATATTATGGGATGTCTTCCAGGCTACCCCTACCTTTTTTTCTTCTTCCTAGCACTGTTGTTTCAGAATCAGTTCAGCTGTCTGTCAGGCTTTTATATATAAATGCAAAATGTGTAAGTGCAGAGGGGCAGTGCAGCCCAACTCAAGAAAATGTCTCAGGAGCAACAATATTAGAAAAATGTTAAAGGCCTAAGACAAACATTAAAAGCTAGAAAATTCACAGCTTTCTATACCTTCCAGCATCTGGACACCACAGGGGGCCACTTAACTACTTTTTGGTACCCTTGGTTGAGCCTCCATGTTAAAGGGCAACCTTAACTGTGAATTTGCTTTCTCTCCATCAAACCCTTAATGTTAATCCGTGGTAGTTTATTGAGTGATTATAGTAAAAAGGTTTTTGGTCTAGGAGCAATAAGAAGGCATCCTGAAAATAGCATCCTGCCAGTCTTGACTGGGAAATGTTTATGGCCTTTCTCTTATCACTAGTTCCTCCTGCACAAACCCTCTCAAATCCTTCCTCGTTGTCTATACCGTGTTATATATTGGGCACCAACTAATTTATTTATTAGGTTGTGTGTATCTAAACCTCCTTAAAAGAAGCATTAGTGGATGTCATGTCTGAGTTTGTGACATCCTGTCTTATGTTGGTTTGATATTATTATGAATGAGTGATTCTTACTGATTCCATATGGAGGAACCAAGGGAAATCTATCTTATGTAATACAGAAGAAATATTATCCTTTTAGAATCAAAAGGAAGAAGAATTTCTTTAATCTAGAATAGATTTTTTTCTTTTCTTTTTGCTATAGGGCATGAAAGTGCCACAGAGAAAGAGCAGGAAAGTGAGAAATCACTTTTCGAAGGGGTTGATCATACTACAGTCCCTTCTTCATTCTTCTTTTGGGATTTTTGGACACGCACACATATACCCCTGCCATAATTTCCAAGCTGCCAGGTCCAAGACTTGAACCATGCTGTCAGCCATGCAAGATCTAGTGCTTTATCCTCCTTGCCACCTGCCGGCCCTCTAGAAATGATCGTTATAGTTTCTTATAGGTTACACAATGATGAGTTCAGAAAAGATTATTTAAAAATTGAAAAATCATTATTTCAAATAATTTCAAATTGCTATTTGGAAATTGATTGTAAAAATCTTAACCAAAGTTCTTTTTTTTTTTTTTTTTTTTTTTTTTTTTTTGATTTTTTTGGCGCGTGCGCTCGCCAGACAGACAGAGAGAGACAAAGAGACAGAAAGCGAGAAATCACCCCCCAGGGGGGATGGTCACGCCGCAATCCCTTCTCCTCCATTCTCCTCTCGGGATCTTGGGCACGCACGCACATGCGCCTGGCGTGAGTTTTAAGCCACCGGGTCCGGGACACGAACCGCGGTCGACTACGTGGGAGTCCAGCGACATAGCCATTACGCTAACTGCTGGTTCCCTTAACCAAAGTTCTTGAACCAAAGGAGTGAAATAATTATATGCTAGTCATTTGAAATTAGTAACTTGTCTTTTCACCTGTTTCAAATGATACAGGCCCAAGTATGTAATACTTGAGGTGCAGCAAAACAAGTATAGGGAATTGCATAGTTGCATGGTTTTGCAACTGTCCTCATGGATAGGGAAAAATCTTGTTTTACCTAGTATGATATGATGAGCAAATTAAGTATTGACATGGTAATAAGATGGAGAGGAGCTTGTACATAAACAAAATTAAATGCACTAAAAGCATTTCAGAGAGAAAAATAATAGCCTAGGAACATTTGTATTTGCAAGCCCAAGTCTAAACATTGTAATCTATAAGATTAAATCTTTCTTAGCAAGAGAAAATATATTCTTTCCTTTATAAATAACCATGATGAAAATATAACAGACACCCAGATGACTTTTTTCCTTCAGGTTTTGGCCATACTATGTGTGTGCTTGCCAGAGAGAGACACAGAGACAGCACGAGGGAAAGTGAGAAATCGCCCTCCCCTGCGGGTGGGAGGAATGGCCCACAATAATCCCATCTCCTCCATTCTTTCCCTGGAATTTTGAGCATACATACACACATACCCAATATTGTTATGAATTAGTGATTCTTACTTAAGTGATTCTTATCAAGCTACCCAGTTCGGGACTCAAACTGTAATAGGCCATGTGGGAGTCCAGCACCTTAACCACTATGCCACCTTCTGGCCTCAGCATTATACAGAATGTCCTCACTCTATGACTGAAACTAATTGACTAAAGGATATAGAAACACAGTATATGGATGTAAATACCAGATATAGTGTGTGTGAAAGAGGAGGGTCTGAGGAAGGGCATTTAGAAGAAAAATAGGGAGACAAAGCATTAATGGCACAAAGAAATGTGGTATTATCTGTTGAAGATATTTCGTAGTTTTATCAACAGTACTAGGGAGAAATGTTCACCTGTTGAAATATCCATTTTGTAAGCCAAATAATAATGTGATTAAATGTATAAAAGAAAATGAAATGAAAAAAAAGTGTAGGAGAAGATAAAATGACAACATATCAACAAGTTTTCTGGGACATCGTACGTAGGAATATTGCATAAAAAATATACTGTCTGTTCAGCTTTTGGGCAAAAATTGAATATTAGTAATTGATACACATACTTTTCCCTGCAGTAGAAGTTTTATGAGAATATAAAATTACTGTACATTGACCAAAAAAAAAAAAATCCTAAAAAAATTCTGACATTCCTTGACTGCTTTACAATCAAGGTACTCATCTAATCTCCAATTTTAAAAATACTGTGTTATATAAATTTATTTTTCCTAATTTTCAATTTTATAGTTTAGAATATCCTACATTGTTTTTATGTTTCTGCTTGAAGATACACTTATAAAGTGTATGCATTTAAATAAGGCTTAAAAAAGCTTCTTTAGGAAATGAACCTGACATTAGGTTTATACCATTAACTGTCAAATAAAAGGATGATCTCTTTTTTAAAAACAAAGACAAAACAAAACAAAGCAGAAAAAGATTTGCCAAGGTGAAATTTATGTAACATTAACGATTTTATAGTAAACAAAAATAACTATTTTTGTAACACCTAGGGAGGATCTTCTCTCTGTTGAGAAAGTGTTAAATAATTAAGTTAACTTGTAAAAAATTTTATAGTTTCTTATTTACATTTAATTGATGTGTATCTTTATAGCATACAATATGGTTTTTCAAAGCATGCATGCACTGTGTGAAAACAGTTTTGCTAACTAGAAACTCTTATTAGTAATAGTTGCTTCAGTACCAGTGAGAGGAGGACTGTAATAGTGTGAAAAAATAGTGGCACACAGGAGTACACATTGCCATTAATTTAGACCAGGGGATGAGATGATTTTTAAGGTCCCTTCAACACAGATGTTAGAACTGTAAGATATCCTCTCTCATTTCATTATTCTAAAGAAATGCTGATGGCCGGCCAGCAGGTGGCATGATGATTATGGTGGCTGGATCCCAATGGGCGACTACATGGTTTGAATCCCAGACCTGGCAGCTTGAAAGACACACCCGGTGCCTGTGCATTCATGTCCAAAACCCTGGGAGGAGACTGGAGGAGAAGGGACTGCGACATGACCATCCTCCTGGGGATGATTTCTCACTTTCCCTTTCTCTCTCCCTCTGACTATCTCTCTCCAGCAAGCACACACTTCCTTCAGCAAAACTAATAAATAAATATATAAATGCTGATAGTCATTGCATGTGACGAAGACAAATTCTGTTTCCCTAAAAAAGTCAGAAAAGGTAATAAATTTTACCTACTTTTGAATGTAGTAATTACAGTGACTGTTGTGTGCATGGCACATAGGTATGATCCATTGCTGTACCTGTTAACTGCTACATAACTAACATGCATATGGAGGAATAGGTACTATCTTTTTTAAAAAAATAATTATGTATTTAATTTTATTTATTC